CCCAGAGGAAAACAGGTTCAAGCTTCCCCTTCCCCATGGAGTCACACAGGATGAGCTTAATTCCTCCAGGGATGAATCATAACAACATGTGAGAAATGTCTACCAGGGAAGTTCATTAGAGACTCAGTGCCCAAAGTTTTCACTGGAGGATGGTCACATATGTACACATCCTCTACCTAGTACATACAAAATTTCCAGATTCCCAGAAGGAAAGCACGTGTTCACCATAAACCATATTGTTTGCTCAAATAGTATAGGCAGAGCGAAGCACTCAAATCACTTACCTCAAGTTTTCTATAAGTGTAGGAAAATGACTATCATACAGATTCCCAGATTCCATCCAGAGAGCAACCTTTTAAGCAGGTTTTTCCAAAGATAGCAGTCTTGGACCTATTCTTTTCTGCACAATTTACCATTTAAGATACAGGATATCCTTTTATAATGGTGTAAGCAAATAAGACAAAATTACATATGTATCTTCTCATTGGATTCCTTTTCTCTCCTTTTTTTTTTCTAACCCTAAGAACATACAACGTAAAAGTCAATTTGGTAGAGATCCCTGCTTGAGGCTAAACTGTGGGACAATTGAGATAATCATATGTCTTTTCTTTAATCTGTCAATATGGTGAATTATAGGAATGGATTCTCTGATGTTGAACCATCTTTGTATTCCTGAGTTAAAGCCAACCTAGGTCATGAACATTTGGGGGTTTAAATGCTGCTAAACTCCATTTCCTAATATTTTGTTTGGATTTTTAAATCCATGTTTATAATGAGATTGGTCTATAACTTTCTTGCCCTATCTTTGTTTGGTAACCGTATCACAAGGTAAGTTAGGAAGCTGTCTTTTTCCATTTTCTAAAATATTTTAAATGAGAAAAGATTATTGATACTTATGGGTCTGGTAAAATGTGCCCATGAAACAATGTGGAATCTGTGCTTTTGGAAAAGAAGACTGTTTATTCTTACTGATTTTATTATGAGTAATTCCAAAGAAATATAAGAGTAGAGAACATATCTCAAAAATCCCCATATACCTCTCACCTAGACACAATAATTGTCAAGATTTTGCCACATTTGTTTCACTCATTATATAAAAAAAACTAAGAACATTTTCCTGCATAACCAAAATTTCATTATCTTTATCTTCATTATTAGGTACCTAACAAAATTAAGTATATTTCTTGGATTTCACCTAATATCTAGATCATTATCAAATTTCCCATTTGGTTATATCAAAATGTCCTTCACAGTTCTTTGGAAGGAGATTAGGGATTACTAATTTAATTTCTTCAAAGGTTGCTAGTTTATTTAGGCCTTCTATTTCTTTGAGTCAATTTTGGTAATTTCTATTTTCTAGAAAATTATGTTTCATCCAAATTTCCCCACTAGCACTCCTGATTATTTTTGCTAGAGCTCTATCCATTGAAGTGCCAATTGCTGGTGTAATCCCACTTTAAAAGGCTTAACACACAGAATCATTACCTGAAAATTCCTCCTACAAAGCGTTCTCCAAATTAAGCCTGAGTTTGTAAACTGCTTGGATATTATTTTTCTACTACTCTTGATGATGAGGGAGGAGGTATTGAGTCCTTTTGGTGGATGCTAGCCCTAGGCCTGCCTTGTCCCAGTAGTTTCTTCTTCACCTTAACCACAGACCAAATAGCATACCTTATCCTCAAATCATCTGAAATATAATTTCAACTCACAGGACAGAATAAAAGAATTTTGAGCATGGAGGGAACTTAGAAAGTATTTCATTCTGCTTATTTTACAGTTGAAGAAATTAAACTCCAGGATCAAAGTGATTTGCCCTACATCATATAATCAGTGGCAGGAAAGAAACTTCAGTGGAGTGTCAAGATAAAAATGATTTTCAGGAGATTTAAAATATCTTAAATACTCCCCAAATTAAGCATTTCATTCCAGAGCTCTAAAGCCAATTTACATTGAAGCCAGCTGCCCAAAGCACAGTAATTACAAATCGCTTCCCTGGGCAATGCTCCCGTTCTTTTCCTTTCACAAGTCTTTGTATGAAAGTTAGCTTTACCAACCCATTACATCTCTGAGTAGGTATGTACATTTCATCTTTTCCAAACCTATGGTTAGCTGTAACAGTGTAAGCAAAATCAGACCTAGGACCACTAGCTTCTCAATTCAGCCTAGGTTACAAAGGTGAAACCCAGGAGACTGTTGCTCTGATAGATACTGTAGACAGAGAGGTAGAACTGGCAACCTCCGACAAGGATAGCACTTTCATGAAGGTGCAGAAAGTCTCTGCACTTTACAAGGTGGCACAGATGCAAAAACAGATTAGAAACTACCTAAGTGGCCTTGATTTTTAAATTTACTATAAAGCTACAGTAATCAAAACAGTGTGCCATTTCACTAATTAGGATGGCAATTATTAAAAAAAAAAACAGAAAATAACAAGTGTTGGTGAAGATGTTGAGAAATTGAAATCTTTGTGCAATGCAGATGGAAATGTAAAATATAAAATAGTTCAGTCACTATGGAAAACAGAATGGCAGTTCCCCATAAAAAACAGAATTAGCTTGGGATGCCTGGGTGGCTCAGTCCTTAAGTGTCTGCCTTTGGCTCAGCAGGGGAGTCCACTTCTCCAACTCTCTTTCCTTCTGCCCCTCTGCTGTCTCTCCCTCTCACTCTCTCAAATAAATAAAAAAATTAAAAAAAATTTTTTTTTTAAGATTTTATCTATTTGACAGAGAGATAGAGAGCACAAGTAGGCAGAGCAGGAGACAGAGGGAGAGGGAGAAGCAGGCTCTTCACTGAGCAGGGAGCCTGATGCTGGGCTCAATCTCAGGATCCTGGGATCATGACCTGAGCTGAAGGCAGATGCTTAACCAACTGAGCCACCCAGGTGCCCTAAAAAAAAAAAAAAAAAAAAAAAAAAAAAAGAAATTTAAAACAGCTTATGACCCACCAATTCTACTTCTGGGTATATGCCCAAAGGAATTGAAAGCAGGATCTCAAAGAGATATTTACACACTCATCTTCACAGCAGCATTGTTCACAATAGCCAAATGATGGAAGCAACCCAAGTGTACATCTGCTGATGAATGGATAAAGAAATTATGGTATAATCATACAATGGAGTATTGTGTAGCCTTAAAAAAAGGAAATCCTCCAATATGTGAGAACATCGATGAAACTTAGGAATATTATGCTAAGTGAAACAAGTTAGACACCAAAGGACACATACTGTACGATTCCATTTAATATGTGGTAACTAAAACAGTCAAACTGTTAGTTAGAAGCAAAGAGTAAAAGAGTGGTTGCCAGGGGATGGGAAGAGAGGGAAAGTAGTTCCTATCAACGGTTATAAAATTTCTTCCATGCAAGATGAATTCTAGAAATCTGCTTTACAACATTGGGCTATTGATAAAAATACCATATTGTACACCTGAAAATCTGATAAGGTGGGGGGAGCTGGGTGGCTCTGTGGGTTGGGATCCAGCTGTGAGCCCAGTGCCAGGCTCCCTACTCAGTGAGGAGTCTGCTTGTCCCTTTCCCTCTGCTCTTCCTGCTACTCACTCAAGCACTCTCAAATAAATAAATAAAATCTTAAAATCTGTTAAGAGGGTAGATCTCACATAAAGTGTTCTTACCATAATAAATTAAAAAAAAAAAAAGGAGAGTGGTTGTCTGAGGCTGGGTAGAGAGAATGCAGTTATTGTTTATTGGATACAGAGTTTCAGTTTTCCAAAGTGAAAAAAGTTCTGTGGCTAGATGGTGGTGTTAATTGCACAACAATGTGAATGTACGGACTCTGAACCCTACACTTTAAAAAGAGTTAAATGATAATTTTGTTAGTGTGTATTTTACAGTTTTAAGAAAATAACTTAAAAACAACAACAACAAAAAAAACAGTTTGGCCCTAACATAAAGATACATAGAACAGTTAACAAAATAGAGTCCAGAAACAGCAACACACAAAGCCAAGGTAATTCAACAAACAAAAGACAGGGTTCTTTTTTTCTTTCTTTTTTTTTTCTTTTCTTTTCTTTTGTTTTGTTTGTTTCGTTTTTGTTTTTTTTTTTTTAACAAATGGTAGTGGAACTCCTCTATGTTTTCAAACTGGGAACAAAAACAAACAAAAAAACGAACCGCAACCTCTACCTGACACCCCAATGAAAAATTCCAATAGATTCTAGATTTACACGTAAAAGTTCTAGAGGCAAACACAGGAGAAAATTTCCCAGGAGTTTGGAGTAAGCAGAGATTTCTTAGCACAGAAAAAGCAAACCACACGAAAAACTGATCGATCAACTTCACTAAAATTAACTGCTTTGCACAAACCACCATCAAAATAATGAAACGACCCAGCTCAGGAGAAAATACTCGGAATTATATATAACAGAAGATTTGTATTTAGAACATACACATATCACCTGTTTAACAAAGCATTTGTACTCTGAACTCCCACATTCAATGGTAAGACGAACACGAATACAACATGGGCAAAGGTCTTGAACTGACTTCACAAAAGATGAATGGGCTTGAACAAAGACTGTCCCTGCTATGCTGACGCCAGAGAGAAGACGGACGCACACCTAAGGCCTTTGAAATGAAACAGTCTAAGAGGAAAAGAGTGTCATAACTACGCCTTGAGAAAACGAAAACAGGCCAAACGATCCGTCCGTTCACTGAACCTCGACTTCATTTCTCACGGCTTGCTCGCAGGTGTAGACAACACGGAAGCATCGCGATACCGGAAAATGCACGAACACTCACGGATCCTGAGGGAGGACCAGAGGAATCAGAGAGCGCAGGCGTGATCAGGGCGCCCAGATTGGGCGACTGACTCTAACGCGAGGAAAGGGGCGGGGCAAAAGAAGACTAGCTCAGGTATAGGAGCGTCGGGCTAGAAGCTCCTCGGGAGCTCTCAGACACGCCCACCTGCGCGCGCACTCTTCGGTTAAACACCCCCTTCGAGGCTGTGCTCTCGCGGTATTTGTCCCGACTCTCGCGGGGTTTAGCGTGGCACGGGGAGGCCGGCCCGGGGGAGGGGGTGGTGGTCCGTTAGTGGCGTTGGGCTCCGGCCGCTGCGGTGGCAGCGCTTTCCCCTCCGCTCACGGAGAGCTGCTCAGGCTGGAGGCCAACCAGGTGAAGAGCTCGCCCGCATGTGTGCGCGCTCTTTGGGAGTCGGGAGGCCCGGGGCTGGAGGGAACCCCGGCTCGGCCTCCCGTGGTATCGCGACAGGCCGGCGCGAGGCGATCGCGGCGCGGGCTCCGCCCCAGCCCCCGCCCTAGCTCCCGCCCTGATCGCTTTCTTCCCCCTTTCTCGTAGCTCTTGCCGCCGCCTCGGTCGCGATGGGGGCGCAGGACCGGCCGCAGTGCCACTTCGACATCGAGATCAACCGGGAGCCGGGTGAGCGGGAGGCTGGGCTCCTGCGGGGGCCTGGACCATCCTTGGGGTTAGGGGAGGGGTCTACTCTCATCAACCCTCCCCCAACCCTTTTTGGGAGCGGGTAGGCGCAGTCAGCACTACCTTTGCTCCTGAGCGAAAATCATTGGTAGAGGAGAGCGGCCGGAATCCGCCACTCCCATCCCACTCAGGGTCCGGGTCTCGCCCTCCGAAGCCCCTTGCCGGGACAGTCACGCCTTGCACCCCCGGACTGAGTGTTCGTACCATCCCTGGCGCCAAAGGGAAAGGGTGCAGTCTGTCTTGGACTTTTTCTGTCTCAGTGTCTCTAAGGGGACAATCACTCCAATTCCTATTTCTGGTATTTTTCTCTGCTCTGAGGTTTGGATTCGTATATTCTGTATTTCCTAATTCTTGTATATCAGTAGGTTAACTCCCATCTCTATTTTTCTTTAAGTATCTTTAGCCAGAATTTCTTGGTTCATGGGGAAATGATTTAGTGAAAGTCTTCTGTGATAAAGCGAAGTGTTCTGTACCAACAGAGACTTGCAGCACGCATGCATTTAGCATTAATGCTTCGTCTTTCAAGGAATCCAGCCATTCCTTAATATATATTACTGAAAATAAAGTATTTTTTTCTAAATGGTAGTTGTTTCATTTTAAATAGCAAAGCCTGCCGGGTTCCGAACTGTTTTCTTAACCTTTTTTTTTTTGTGTGTGTGTATCTGTGACATAAGTTTTAGTTGGAAATAAATATGCAGTCTTTGTGCAGCATCTTGTCCAGCAGATTCTTGAGAGCCTGCTGCTGTCCAAGACTCTGGGGATATAGCAATGAATAAAACAAAGGACTCTCTTCCTTGTAGTTTGTATTCTGCTGGGAGAAGACAGACCATAAACAAGGGGAAAAAATACAGTGGCTTGTAGTAGAGGTACTGTTTTAATATGTTGGTCAGAAAAGGCTATTTTGAGATAACAGGCAAACATCTGAAGCAGAGGAGGGGGTAAGCTTCCTGGATGTCTTTGAGGAGCATTTCTGGCCAAGGAAGTTAGTACAAAGGCACTGAGGAGGGAGGGTGCTTTGGTGTTTGAAGAACTGCCAGAAGCCCAGGGTGAAGTAGAGGAGGGATGAGAGTAGCAGGAAATGGCTATAGACCACAGTAAGGACTTTTGACCCTGTGAGATAAGATATGGAAGGATTTTGAGCAAAGGAATGTTGTGATCTTAGAAATATGGTTGCATTCTCTGTGCAATATTTTGAGCCTTGATCTTAATCCTTTAATATTTTGAGCCTTGATCTTAATCCTTATCCTGTAGTGAGTCCGTGCTTCAGATAACAGGGCTTACGTTTTTTTAAGAATTAAAAATAGCAAATTGAACATATTAAATAAAAAAGCTATTTCCCACTGTCAAAAAAAATTAAAAATAGACTCATGAAAAGTATTCATATCCTAGATTTGCAAATAACCTTTGTTATGAAAAAGCTCCAGAATGCGTTTGTTAAATGTAGAACGAATTTCATGCTTATACTGTTCTGTGTTAAACCAGTTGATAATTGGCAATTTCATATGGTTCAATCTCCTATATAATACTTCAAGCACTTTTCAGTATATTACCTAAATAGTAGGTACTTGATTTTTACACAACTTTTAAGGATCACTTCAGCTGTTCAAGTGAGGTACCCTGCTTTGAAAGATTTAACCATTAGTAAGTATGTCATTGAGTACTTAGCCAAGTGATATTCTTGATTTCTTGTATTGTTAATACTTTACTTACTGTAAATACAAAGTAGTATCAAAGATCCTTTAGGAGTGACCATAATGACCACATTAATGAGAGATCAAGAAGTACTGATAAGGGGCACCTGGGTGGCTCAGTTGGTGAAGCAACTGCCTTCAGCTAGGGTCATGATCCTGGAGTCCTGGGAGTGAGTGCCCCATGGGGAGATCCCTGCTCAGCAGGAAGTCCGCTTCTCCCTCTGATCCTCCTCTTCTTGTGCTTTCTCATTTTCTCTCTCAAGTAAGTAAAATCTTTTTTTTTTTTTAAGATTTTATTTATTTATTAATTTGACAGAGAATGACATCGAGAGAGGGAACATAAGCAGAGGGAGTGGAAGAGAGAAGTAGACTTCCTGCTGAGTAGGGAGCCTGATGCGGGCCTCATCCAGGATGACCTGAGCTGAAGGCAGTTGCTTAACGACTGAGCCACCCAGGCGCCCCTCAAATAAGTAAAATCTTAAAAAGTTCTGATAGAAATTGAGTTGAATGCAGCACAGTATGTATTGTTTTCTATTACTATCCATGGAAATTTGTATGTTTTATAGTAAGTTATCAAGGCTTTTGAATTACAAAATGAGTTTTAAGTATGTGTTAGAAGAGGAAGGTGTCTATATAGAGAGTTTTTCACTGTGAATCCAATAAAATAAGTTGGTTCCTATTTGAAATAATTCCAGGACTATACTTTAGGATTTTTTTTTTCAGAAGGTTTTTAATTAAGATTTTAATTTCTTCAATAGTTGCAGAACTCTTCATCTTATTTCTTCTTGAGTGATTTTATCTGTGGGATTTGTAGTGATAGCTCTCCTTTCGTTCCTGATATTGATAATCTGTGCCCTTTGTCTTTTTTCCTTGGTCTCTGGCTAGAGGTTTATCACTGTCATACTTACCATTTCAGAAAACTTTGGTTTTGTTGATCTTTTCCCCCTATTTTCTTCCAGTTTTAATGATTTCTGCTCTTCATATCTTTTCTGTTGCTTGCTTTGGGTTACTTTGCTCTTTTTCTAGTTTCTTTAAGTGCAGATTTGTATTGTTGACTCGAGACCCTTTTCCAGTATAAGGGTTTAATGCTATAAATTCCCTTTATATGCATGACCCCACAAATTTTGACATATTGTTCATTTTCTTTCAGCTCAGAATATTTTCTCTTTTCCCTTGAGGCTTAGTCTTTGGCTCAAGAGTTATTGAGAAGTGTTTTAATTTCAGAGTACTTGGCTATTTTGCAGTTTTTGTGTTAATGATTTCTACTTTAATTCCATTATGGTTGGAGAACATACTTTATATGATCTCAGTTCTTCTAAATTTATTAAGGTTTGATATGTTCTATATTAGTGAATTTCCCATGTGCACTTTAAAAGAATATATATTCTGCTGTTTTTCTGTGGAGTGTCCTATAAATGTCAACTTGAGTCAGTTGGCTAATGGTGTTGTTCAGTTCTTCCATATCCTGGCTGATTTTTTTGTCTTCTTCTTCTATTGTTTACCAAGAGAGGAATATCGAAGTCTCCGTCAATAATTGTGGATTTAATTTCTTCTTTCAGTTCTGTTAGTTTTTGCTTTGTTTGAGGCTTTCTTGTTAGTTGGATGCATATCCATTTAGGATTGTTATGTCTTCCTAACGAATTGACCCTTTTATCGTTATGTAATGAGCCTTGTTATTCCTGGTAATTTTTCTTGCTTGGAAACCTGCTTTGTCTGTTATGAATACTACTACTTCATTTTTTTGTTAGTGTTTATCCGGTACGTCATTTTCTATTCTACTTTTAACTTATATTTAAAGTGTGTTTCTTGGGGTACCTTGCTGGCTCATTTGGTGGAGCATGAGGCTCTCGATCTCGGGATTGTGAGCTCAAGCTCCATGTTGGATGTAGAGATACTTGAAAATAAAATCTGGTGCACCTGTGTGGCTCAGTCCGTTGAGTCTCCAGCTCTTGAATTCAGCTCAGGTCATGAGCTAGTGGGGCCCTGCATTGGGTGTGGAACCTGCTTGGGATTCTCCCTCTCCCTCTGCTCCCCTCCACCCCCCCCCAAAAAAAACCTTGAATAAATAAAGTGGGTTTCTTACAGATGGTAAGTAGATGGGTCTTTTTTTTTTAACCCATTCTCATAATCTTTTAATCAGTATATTTAGGCTTTTACACTTAGTGCAATTATTATTTGTTTGGATTTGTCTTAATTGTTTTTGCTTCCTTTGTTTTCTTGCATTCTGGGTTATTTGAATATTTTTTAGTATTTCTTTTAAATTTTTCTGTTGACCTTTTGATGATCTTTATATGGTTTTTTTAGTTGTTGCTTTAGAGATTATAATATATATCCTTGGCTTTTCACGGTGTACTTAGAATTAATATTTTACCACTTCAGGTGAAATGTTGAAACCATCCCACTATGTAATAACCCTTTACAACCTTTTGTTGTATTGGTCATATGTATTACATCTACAAACATTGAAAGCCTTTGCTTTCAAACGTCACACATACTAGCTTAAGAGGAGGAAAAAATACTCTCATTATTGACTCATGTGTTTACATTTCTGATCTTTTTTGTTCATTTCTGAAGTCTTAGGTTCCCCTTCTTTCACCTGAAGAATTTGTTTAAATTAGGCATTTCTTTCAGAGCAGAACTTTGGCAATAAGTTCTCTTTATTGGTTTTCCGGTTTTGGTTTTTCACCTGAGAATTTTACTTTGCCTTTCTTCTCTTTCTTTTTTTTTTTTTTTTTTAAGATTTTATTTATTTATTTGACAGAGATCACAAGTAGGCAGAGAGGCAGGCAGAGAAAGAGAGAGGAGGAAGCAGGCTCCATTCTGAGCAGAGAGCCCAATGCGGGGCTGGATCCCAGGACCCTGGGATCATGACCTGAGCTGAAGGCAGAGGCTTTAACCCACCGAGCCACCCAGGCGTCCTTCTTCTCCTTTTTTTTTTTTTTTTTTTTTTTTTTAAGTAGCCTCCACGCCTAGCATGGAGCTCAACAAGGGGCTTGAACTCACCACCCTGAGATCAACACCTGAGATCAAGAATCAGATGCCTAACCGACAGAGCCACCTAGGCACCCCAACTTTGCCTTTATTCTTGAAAGATATTTTCGTAGTTACAGAATTTGGGGTTGATGATTACTTTTTTTTAGCACTTGAAAAATGTTCCTTCTGGTCAGTTTGGTTTCTGATAAGAAATCTGTAGTCATGCAAATTTTTGTTGCCCCATATGTAATGTGTTGTTCTGGTGTGACTGCTTTTGAG